TTCAGCTTTATAATGGCATCATAGAAAGACTGCTTTGGTCTTTTCCTTTCATGTGTAAGTTGTAGAACAGGTTTTCCTTCCAAAAGCAGTTTATTATTTCATTATTTTTAAATTTTGATTTTGAAAAAGGAGGGGGCAATTGCCCCCCTTACCCCCCTGGCTACGCCCCTGAACCACACTCACCTCCATCATGGTATTTATCAAAAGTTTCATTTTCTTCACGAGTTTCTATGAATAATCCAAAAGGATAATAATGTCTAACCCCACCCACAATCTGTCCAATAGTTTGATGCTGAAACTAAATTAAGATAATAATAACAACAGGATACACAAAAATGAATTATACCTCATTAAGATCAAAGGACTGTTCCATTAAATCATCATCATAATTATATTTAACTAAACGACATCTCTCAATAGGAATATAAGGAGCTAGTTTCATTAACTGATAAAGAGATGAGGAGAAAAGAAATAAACAGAAATGAAAGAAGTAGATCAACTAAAAATAAACCTCATAAGCTTTATCCAGTACACTGGGTAGTAATTCATTTTCATGCACTTCAAGTGCCAGCTCCATGAATTTTTCAGAAACAGGATGATTACAATATAATATGAACTAATTGAAAAGAGTACCTACAATGTACATGTATCATTGTCTGACTTCACTTACTGAACATATTTGATCCTTGATTTCACCATTCAGACTATTCTCTTTATTGCTAGTCTCTTCATCTTTAGAGACTTCATCTTTAGTCTCTTTGTCTTTAACACTTGTCAAATCTATTCAAATATCAATAATCAAATGATGACACACATAATGAATAAAACCTTTAATATCTTTTACAATCTTCTCATTGTGTTCTCTTTCAGTCATTAGTTCCATATTCATTAGTGTTATTCTTTCTTGTAATTTCTCTATTATTTTTTTATTATCTACTAATGGCTGATAGTCTGGTCTTGTCATTGCTTTAAGATGAAATTTGCAGTCATCAATTTCAAAACACATTCCTCTTCTCACTTTGTTAGCAGCTTTAATTAATCATTATAACTAGTATATAATCAATAAAACTACTCTAACCTGAATCAGTATTACTAGAAAGTGAAAGTAATCTCAAATACTCAACCTTCATTTTTGATAATTTGTCTGACAATTCTTTGTTTTCTTCTTTTATCTCATTAAACTGAGAGCTCAATACAGTCAACTCTTCATAAAGTGGTTCTTCCTATTGATA